TAGGGAACTCATTGTTCTATGTTTTTGTTCACGTTATTCATTTATTCAAGTCATTCACGGCATTGTATTTTCTGTATAATGAGGCATTCATCCAATAGAAACGACTGGGTTGAATTAATCAGTCGCTTTACCGTCACGTGGTTGGTCGCTTTATCGTGACGTGTCCATAGAATTTACTTCCATATAGGGCATGTTATTGTCTTTCAACATGAAGTTAATTTTTGCTGTGAGACAATGGAGTTGCCTATCCTTCTCTCCTACTATCTATGCTCGTACTAGTCGTGAATCTATGATTGAAGGCAGCGACGTAGCCCTGATAAACGCTGGTCAGGTGTAGGGGTATTAGCCTGCGAGCGGGCTATATGGAAATAAAGACAAGGGGGGGGAGACGAAAAGTTCACGAATAGAAACTTGAATTGCTGCTGATTATTTATATTCTTTTATTTTTTGTTGTAATGTTTCTTTTTAATATGTTACGTTTATATAAGTCGAATGTACATCGATCTCCTTTATATCGCATCATATAAATCGCCGAGGAGGCTGGCGATGACGCGATGTTTCGAGTTTCGAAGGACAATGGAGCCAACCTCGTACGTACTATTTGTGATGATTTCCATCAAGCAATAGGTACAGTATGAATTTGAAATGTCTAGAAGTATTTGAGTTACACGTGCACTCTGGCGAATATTGCAATTATGGCGGCAATGCGAACTCTATGCACTCTCCCCCTGATGACTAAAATTTTCCGGCGTTAGGCAGAGTAAACTAACAAAGAAGGGCGCATCTAGGTGCATTGCCACTTAAAGAGTTAAAAACGTAAATACCACAGCACAACACTTGTACATATACATATACAACGGCAATCCTTTTATATATTTAATAATCATATTTACATATTGTTGAAATATCAATGTCCATATGTTAGGGATGTCCATGAACTTGTCTCTAGTTTGAAGCTGAAGTATCATATCTTTTGTACAAGTTGTCCCTCTACAAACCAACGTTTAGTCATTATACAAGAGTTGAATTTGCATTCATTTGCTTCGCAAGTCGCAACAAACTGAACAAAGTACTAAACCATAAACCTGACAGTGTGCAATGATCGAGCGTCTTGAGCGACATATCCAAGTCGTTTAAACGTTGTATACGAACAAATCTCACTGAGTTTTTTCTGCAGAAAGTATTGATCCATTTGATCGATCGCCGTACTTTGAGAAAAGCTTGAAATGCAAAATTCAGAGGGAAGATTGAAGAATTTCGGATATAAAAACAGTTGGTCTTCGAGTTTCACCTCTAGCATCCCCCCCCCCCCCGGTTCAGAAAAGTAACAATCGTAATGTTGGAGTCACGTGACCAGCGTTTACCAGGGCTACGTTGCTGCCTTTTTTCTTCGTTATGAAAGCATAAATAAGAGCTCATTGTAAAATAAGAGCTCAGAAAATGTACATTTTCTACTAATGTTGTTTATTTTCAAGTTGACATTGTGTGTTTAATCCACGCATGATCCACGCTGGCTCGTTCCACACCTGTGCGATTAATGTTTAATCGGCACGGTTTTTAACCAATCAGAATCGAGTAAATAGACTAAAATGATATTATGTAAATAATTATGTCGAATCGAATGCAACCATGATGCAACAATTATAATTTATTTTCTTTTATGAATTATAAAAAATATTTTGCCGTGCTACTTCTGCCAAGGTGGTCTGGGACAATATGATTATTTTTTTTTTTTTTAGTATTATGAACTTCATTTAGGTGGCAGATGATAGAACATCACTTGCTGACACCAAAAATACAAACTTCATATGTGATGTTTCCATGGTTACCGAGCCTCACCCTTCTAGATAGTGAAAAAGTACCCCTTTTTCGGGACATGATAGCAAGAGTAATAATTGTCATCAAAGTATTGTTAAGTTTGAAGGAAAGTCAATAGATGTATTAAACATGCAAACCTCCAAAAATAACACATTTGATAAGATTTCAATAAAAATTTTTTTTTTTCAAAATCGGCAAAAATTGGGTATTCATTGTAGACAAAAAATTTTTTTTATTGATTTATTATAATGATAAATAAGATTTTTGAGATTTGGGTTTGAGATCTATTTACAATCATTATATTATTCTGAAAATTTTATCAAATTTGGAGTAATATTGAATGAGAGAGAGCGTCCCGACTTCGGTAAAATGTCATTTTGAGAAAATCGAGTTCAAAGTTGCACGTTAACTTTTGAAGACAAACAAATGACATTTAAATAGATAAATTACATCAAAGTGTACTTAAAATGAACCTGCTGCATATATTTTTCCCTCTTCTACTTCATTTTTGTCACCTTTCCTCTTATTTCCTCACGTGATTACGTTTCTCTGCACTTTATTCTTCTCCTCCGCCTTGTAGTTAGATTTCATAACACAAAGTCGATCGGCTTCCCTTACTCCAGCAACAAAAAAAGCTCCTGGATTTATGACCAAGGGCTTTGAAGACTTCAATAGTTGCTTCTTGCATGCTTTGGAGACCTTGCACACAGGTTCTACATCCAACATTTGTCCATTTCCCATGGAAATGACGGTTACGCATCCGTGCAATGAGGTAAATCCCCTTCTTTGCCATGTTCCATCGCATGAAACAGCAGTTTCCAAAATGTCTTCACCGTCCTCAGTCTTAGAGTTGTAGATTTCTGTGTTGCATCCGTTGTTTGTTCAGCGACATCCTTTGCGGAGTTTGCAGCACGCAGTATCGCTTTCGTGCGCTACTACACTGTGCTACCTACTGTAAATGGCTGTGAGCCAACCGGTGGCGGCATGTTCGAGGTAGAATAGAACCGAGCCATTGAAGATTGTCCACGATCAATTGAGTCGACCTCATTGCATATACCATTCTTCGATTTATGCACAAAATAGCCATCCCTCTCTGAAGTATAAATGTTTCAGTCCATCCACACGACTTACATGTGAGAGAGAGACATTAGGCACAACCCATTCGTTTTAAAATTTCATCCATCAATGTCAGTTGCATGGCAACATTTGGTATAATGGAGCACAGGATCGAAATATCAGTAAAACGATAGCCACTTACTTTATTTTCGTTCACTGTAGGCACTATTAAAGTATCACTAATTTTACCAATTTTCCTGGCCGAGGCCGACTGTGACATGCTATTCAATATTTTAATGATTTTGCATTATTCAAACCTGGCAATGTATTGTTTTTTATTTACCAAAAGTTAATTGGCATGCAAGTTTATTGCTATGCAATTTGCATGACCAGTTGCCTTGGCTAGCATCGCCACTGATAAATATGTTGGATATTAATTTTGTGAGTTGTAATTAAAACTGACAATTTTGCATTATTTTTGCAATTTTATTAAAACCTATATACCGTAGATTATAGAAAAATGAAATTACCATGTTACCATGACAACCCTTCAAAATACTTCATGTCAAAAAATATAGTTGATTGGTTAGCAACTAAGGCGAGGGATTTCACCTTTAATTACGGATTGTTATAAGAAAAGTACATTAATTCAGTCAATAATTACGGATTGTTATGAATAGTACACATTGACTGCGAAATTATGAATTCATTGCTATTTTATTTGCAGAAACCTGCCATATATTTGACATATTTAAATTTATTATTGCGCACCTGTTCTACATGTGATATTTTCATTGTGTTCTTTTCCTAACATCATACACTTATAATGGCTTACGCCGTAAAGAAACTAGCTGAAGTCTAAATATGACCGAGTTGATCGAGCTGCATGCGAAGATGGAACTCAGTATCTATGTGCAGTTAATATTTTTGTGCACGGTGAACGTGATCTTTACTTTTGCTGGAACAATTTTGAATTCATTGGTCATATTAAGCCTTTGGAAGTCGTCACGGCTTAGAAAGAAATTATGTTATTTCATGATTTTGGTCCTATCGAGTTTTGATTTACTGGCAGGGATGATAAATCATCCTCTGGGAGCGACTTATTCAGTTGTTTGGTTGAATGAAAAGTATGACTTATTATCCAAGCTGGGCATTTACATCCGTCCTGCTAACATGCTCCTTGCCTTTTCCATGCTCACAATTGTTGTCATGAGTTTTGATCAATATTTGGCCACCGCTTATCCGATTTTCCATCGAACATCCATGACTAAAACCAGACTGTTAATCCTTCTTTCTTTCTTCCTTCTTTTTGACTTCACCTTGTATGTCATTACTTTTAATGATTTTATACTTCCGTTCCATTTTAATGTGACAATTTTCTTCGCTGTTGTCTTTCCTCCATTCTTCTTTACCAACTACAAATTATTTAGAATTTCCCGGGAAATGAGTAGAAAAAACAGAATAATGCCGAAAAAGAGGACGGTGGTTGATTTGAAAAACATCTCTAGTTGCTTACTGGTTGTTGCCTGTTTTGTGATATTGTCCATCCCAGCGTTTGTCTACGCTATTCTTCGCTTTGCAGAAAAACCGACGTCAGTAAATGTACAATTATCGTGGGTTTGGGGAAGCACTATCGCTTCAATTAACGGTACGTGCAACTGTTTAATCTTTTTCTGGAAGAACAAGCTTTTACGTGCAGAGGGAATAAAAGTATTAAAGTTACTGAAAAATCGTCAATATTTCTGTACAACCTAAACATTGACTCAAGCACTTACGAGTTGAAGCTGCTGAAAAAGAAAATTGTCTATAATGTAAGCAGAATAAACTAAGCACTTGCTGATATCATATACAGTACCTGCTTGTCGAATGTAACAAACTACGGTAATGACAATGCCAATGGATTTGACAATTTGATCTATAAATAATTGGGATCGGTATGGGTCGTGCTATTATATATTGGCACACTATAAGATCCTCAAAGAACATTTCAGTAAAAGAGGTATAATTAAATCCTGTAAGATGGTTGTATAGTATACTATGTAATAGTTTGGAATAAAAACAAAGGTAGTTTCGTTTGTCCACGAACTATGGACAAATTAGCTTATATACATTCTCTATAGCTTCATCTGATTCGATAGTTTCTGTTGCCGACATTAATTGTTTTGCCACGTTTTTGAGAATGGATTGGTCTAGCTCAGTTTACTTTTTGAAAATTGATATATAGCTATATACCTTCTCCTTTTGAATTATACCGGTGTTTGGCGACAAAAAATTTTAAAAACTTGCCCAGAGCCAAGCTAAAAACATTGCCGCTAACAAAGACTACCGGCAGAAAATGGGAGAATTTTAAAATTCAGCAGGCTATAAAAGCTACTTTTAGCCTACTAATTTATTCATTTTAGCTCGCAAAGTCTGCCACAACGCTCGTTAAAGTTATTATGATGTCTTATGTATTAAGTTATGATAAAGCTATATGATGTATATACCAGTATACTTGTCAGTATTAAATGCTTACTTGCTACTTAATTTGACGATATATCAAAAACAGCCTTATCTTTTCATATTGACAACCCCAGTTTAAATACCATCGTAAGCTCCTAACCCATCGTAACTGTAAGCTCAACACCAACTTAATCGTTGTGACGTCATTACTGTAATTATTATCAATAAATCCTTGTTTCGGTCACAAATATATTTCTTTGATCTTAACCGCAACCCATCCCTATATTTAATAACCCTGTCCATATTGTGCGCCAAACATGAGAATCTAACCATAATTAAACTATTTCTTAATATTACTATCCTACTGTTACTCTAATATATGTGACATCAGAACGACGATAGTATGGGAACTTGTCCCTATTTTTGTAACCTTTTCACTAGGCCACAATATCAGCCAATAATTATTTTAAGACAAAAAGATTATTCAATGCTTTTAGCTGCACAATAATGATACACTGTATCACTATATTAAAGACCATGCACAAACATTACTTCAAACTATCACAAGACCACAACTGTGCAGTGCACGAGAGTGCGGTATGTACTATTTACAGTAAAAATACAAAAAGTGTCCCACTTCCGCTTCTGTAGATTGTTGTGATTTACTGTAAATTGTACTGTTTTTCTGTAGCGATCACCAATTTATCGGCAAATACCGTGATAAAACTTAGTTTTCTCTATTTTAAATATTATAATTTGTAACAAAGCGAAATAATACATTTTTCGTTAGTTTCATTGCATAAAAGGTAGCCTACGAAATTTAAAATTTATTGCAGTATTTCTCGATAAATCGGTAATCGTTACAGAAAAACAAAACAAATTACAGTAAATCACAGTGCATTTTTTAAGGATTTTTTAGTGGTGGGGCAAAACTGCCAAAAGGCCCATTTCCCTTGCCCTCCCCTCAGGATAGTATGCGATCGCCGAAGGTATGAGCAGAGTACCGCAGGCACGAGTTAGCTAGGCCGTCCGGGGGGTCTGCGGGCATGATCCCCAGGAAAATTTTAAAATTTGGGTCTCTGAAATGGCATTTCCTGCATTCTGAGAACACATTTTAAAAAAATCTCAGCTTCTCAAAACACAGGCGGCCCAACATATTAGTCCAACAAAAGAGGAATAAAAGGACAATACACACTATCAAATAGGCAAGTCAATTTCATTTTAAAATTTATATTTTATGGCATACTTTTACAATAATATAATATACATTACTATACTGACCCTTGCGAGATTGGGCCGCTGTGCAAAACAAAGTTTTAATGGTGAAATTTGTAATAAATAATAGTTTTTAATCAATGTCACTCAAATATTTTAGTTTCTTTCCTTCCTATCCAACTGGGATTAGATAATTTGCCGACTACCTAACGACCGGGGGTGTTCCAACACCCACACCCATCCACCACCCACCTAGCACCACCCTTGATTGTTCTGACTTTATAAGATGGAATGTCGAGAATGTGAGAGGATATGAGAAAGCAGGCAGATGTAGGTTTTCAACAAGGTTGACTTTTTATTAATGATCCAAAGGGCCCAGTTCATTTGAGAATCTTGCTTCACCACTGGGGAAAACAAAGGGCCTACTGGGGTAAATGCCCCAGTAGTTATATAGTTGTTATATTATATGCCCTGGTAAATCACAACAAACTACAGATAAGCGGAAGTGGGACACTTTTTGTATTTTCACTATAAAACACGAGCATGCGAGTGCTTTACAAAATATAAAAGACGAGAGCGCAACTCCAGTGTTTTATATCTGATAAAGCACGGACTGAGAATCGGTTTTAATTGGCTTAAAAGTAAAAGCCTGATTCACATACAGGGTGTCCTATAAAAACCGAACTCATGCAGCACACTGCTGAACCAACAAGTGATAAAAGCTTGACATAGGTAAATTTTATGCATAAAGAAATTGTTTAATTAAGAAGCTGCTTTAAATTCCCAAGAGCAGAAAATCTTGAGCTTTACGAAGATATTTTAGTTTCTTTCAATCAGTCAATATTCAATATATGCACTCTGTCAATATTTTACGCATCTTTGTGTTCAGCTTAGTGCTAGGACATTCAAATTCTAACAATACGTTATTTCAATAATTTTGGGGGGGTTTTGGGACATCTTGTATACCGTCGGCGGGCTATTGTAATTGTTATAGCCGACTAGTTCAACCAAATAATTCACAAAAGAAAGTATGCATAGTCAACAGCTGTAAACAATGATAGCGGCGGAATACCGCAGGATGTGTGAACCAGGCTAAAGTAAAGGGAGCTTTCTTTTGCATTTACTGATGC